CCTCAGTAGTTCATCTTTTTTGCACATCTCAGTCTTTCACTATTTTGCAGTAGTCTCTGTAAGGGTTGTGTATTACTTCAAGTAGCATGTTCAGAATTAGGTACAGTATTCTGGCTAATGCCTTTCCTATGCTCTGTTTCTACAGTTTTTGTGCCTTTACTTGAAATTGTGCTAATCAGGTGTGCACAAGTTCTCCCTAATACCCAATTTCTGCGCCAGGTTTTTGATTTTTTTTTTTTCTTAAAGTTTCTGTTTTATACAGAAGGGTGACTGAGAGGAATTATCATTCCATCTTACTTTTAAATACCTTGCTTTCATATAGCTTGAAAAGCATTATAACTTTGTACATTATGAAGAATACATAAATTTTTGTAGACTTCCACCTTCGGAATTGCAATTTGTATTTACTAGGAGGAATGTTATTCAGCAAGAGGCTAACATCTTCTGAAATAAATACATGTTTGCTTTTATTCTTTCTGGGGAGAAGATCACCTATAGGGAACTAAACCTTTCTTACTGTGAGGCAACGTGGGCCGCCTTCTCTCAGTGTGAACATCTCCTCCGGAAGATTCCTGACTTGCAGAAGAATGCATTAATTGTGTATGATCAACTCAAGAAACAGTGTAGAGAAATGGGACACACTTACGAAGATCAAGATGAATTAGCTCGTTTTGTATCTAAAGCTATGTCCATTGAGCATGTTTGGCAATCTCTTAAATTTTTGAAAGATCAGAATGTAGTGATTAGGGAGAAAAAACTAGTGTTTCTGCCTCATCTTTACAAATCTGAAAAAGACATTGCAATGTATATAGGTGGCCTTCTGTCAAACCACCCATGGCAACTGGATGTTGATGTGAGAAAGATACTTAACGTTCCTGAGACATCAAGAGAAATGGTGGATAACAAAATGAATGTTACTCAGGCTCATGAAATAGAACATCTGAAGGAAAATAGCCCAGACATTCATAACTGTGAAAGTCACCTTCCTGAAAAGGAAGTGGGGTCTACGTCTGGTACCCAAAGTAAAGCAGAGTTAGACTTAGATCAGGTGATTGCAATGGAAAAGATTTGTTCTAATCCTGTCACAATCATAAGTGGAAATGGAGGCTGTGGGAAGAGTACGATAGTTAGCTGCCTTTTTCGTCACTTAAAGCAGATGGAAAAAGAAGTGGAAGCTGCTTCTAAGGACTTTGAGGAAGACCTGGATGCATCTGAGGAATGGAATACCTTTGATCATCATTGGGAGTCAGAGAATAGGTACACAAAAAAATGTAATGTGCTATTTACTGCACCTACAGGGAGGGCGGCAAGCCTTTTGAGTGAAAAAACTAAGCTTCCTGCATATACACTGCATCAGGTAAGGAATTTTTTCTTTTTAAATTGTGTTCTGAAAGACCTTTTGGCACTCTCCATTCTTGTTTTGGAAAAAAAAGCTTGTTCTTGAACTTTCCTTATGAAATGTGTGGCTATTAATGATAATGCTTAGGTACAGCTTGTTAGCATTTGAAAGTCAGCGGTACATTTTGGGGAATCATAAATCAATCATTTGAAATACTTTATTTGCCGTAACTTTGGGTTTTTTTCCTACTTATACACATCTCAAATTTGTGCCTTTCTAGGGCATGTGGTCTTTTTAGCGTCTTGGTTTTTGCTTTTTGGTTTTTTTTTTTAATTAGGACAGAAATACTTTCTGGATGGCAGAGCTGTTTTCTAGTCTCCTGTTGCCTAGCAATCATACTGATACCTGCACATACAGAGATCAAGAGATGAGTAGCCTGGGGTTGAATAATGAGATAAATTTCATTCACACAGTGTTTTCTTAATTACTGTTAAATATTGTGCAAATTTTCTTAGAAAAAAGTAGAAAGCAAGTCTCTGTTGTCCTATGTAGTGGAAGGTGCCGAGAAGACGTTGGAGGTGTGGAATGACCTGTATAAATCAAAATTCTAATAACATAAAAAGTACTGTGGGCTTATTTTATATTTGGGGACTGGATAGTTGCCTGTTACCCTTCCCCATGCAATGTTGGGGATTTATTAATGTCAGCAAGTTGTGGTAGGAGGTTGAGCAACCTAATGGCTGACCTTACATCCTTTAGAGTCTCTGCCGAAAAAAAAGGATGCATTTCTGTGCTTTTATGTAAGTAAGTGTTGATAATCTCGGCTAGAAATGTATTCACCAAGCAGGAAAATAAGACTGAACGGTTGAGTCGTCTGAGTCTTTACAGGTTTAAGTTCAGAATTTCAGATAATAGCTCTAAATACAACATTAGAAGGTACCCCACTCTGGCTACCTTTATAAGACAGTTGTTTACAGTTGATTAGTGTCAGAGCTTGATTTATTTCAATTTGTTTCTAGATCATCTATAGTTTTAAATTGTGGAGGCAGAGTGAAGAAGTACAGCCGTGGAAGTTTTCTACTGTGACAATTCTGATTGTGGATGAAGGAAGTTTGGTGTCTGTACGCGTTCTTAGTTTAGTTTTAAGACTCTTGTGTGAGCATGCTCAGCTTGCCAAACTTATTATTTTAGGTAAGTGAAACAGCAAATTTAGCATTATACAATATTTAATAATATACAATATATAGTGTAAGTATCAGAGCTGCCACTGGTCTCACTGAGTATCTTAAAAATGCCAGAATGTTACATTGTTCTGTACTTAGATATTTCTGCTTATTCATAAGGTCAGATGAGAGGGAGTTTTCTATCTCAACTGTCAGAATGAAAGTATCAGTATCTCCTTCTCTGTTTAGCAGTGTTTTGTCCGATTCTGAAAGTATTATGACTTCCATGTCGTAGCTTATTACCTCTTGCCAACTGGAAAACTTTCTGATTTCCTTAAATTTAAAGAAGCTAGTGTTAGCATGTTAATCACATGTTAGAAGGGAGGTTTCATGTCATTCTTAATGCTAGGATCATCTTGTTTTAATTCAGAAAGAAAAACAAGTGTAAAATCAAAATTTTCTGCTTTCTCAGAGGTTTGCTTTTTGGCATGCCATTTATGGCATTTGTTTTTAAATATGTGACTTTCAAAATGTGTTTGAATAAGATGTGATCACTGTCAGTGTTCATCATGCAGAGTGATTTGCACCTGCTAGTAAAGCATTACTGAGTGAGGAATATGAAAAATTTAAACTACACTGCAGCCTGATTCCCCAAAGTTCCTTAGATTCTTGAACGTTTTATTTCACGTGAATTGTATCGAGGAAGCATGTTACTGTGTAGAGGGTTGAGTATCTATTAATTCCAGTGGGGTTTTTTTCAAGACAGTTTTTAGCACATGATCTGTGGTTGCTTCTCACAAATACTAATTTGCATTCTGTTTAGGTGATACTAGACAGCTGCCAAGCATAGATCCAGGAAACATGTTAGCTGATATCTTTGAGGGTCTAAAATCAAGAGGCTTTTCTGTGGAACTGCAAACTAATTACAGAGCTGAATCACAACTAATTGTAGATAATGCATCAAGGTAGGATTTCCTTATGTATGTAAGAAGCATTCTTGTAGTACGCCTGGTCCTTTACCTGCAAAATAGTAGTGCATCCAGATTTGACTTAATAGTACTGCTTCTGTTACAGTTTCTTATTCAAAATCGGTAACACTGGTTTTAAAAACACACAAACCAACCCCCAAAACAACAACAATAAAACCCTGCAAATTTTTCCAGGAGTATATGTATTGGACAAAAAAATGTGTGTGCTGGAATACTCTTGAATTTTATGGGATGTGTTTCACTACCAAATATTCTCTGTTGTTTTCAAATGAGTTGTGCATGCACAAATCACTTTATGCCTTCTGAAATGACTTACAATTGCTTCTCTAAAAAGGAATTTTTAGAGACATTGCTGGTAAGTGTGACAACAGCTAAAACAGGCTGAATTACACTGAGACTTTGTATGTCAAGGGCCATTAAATCATAGTTTCTTTTTATTTTTTGCTGTATTGATACCTAGAACCTCTAAATGTTTCCAGCATTTGCATTACTTTTGGTCTGGAAATAATCCTGTTTACTGTCAGTGCATGATTTCTTTTTTAAACCTCAAACAACAAAATCTAGGTCCGAGTGCCCAAAACCTTTTGATGTTGATTGGAATTTGAGAATATTCTGAACATTTGCAAGATGTAAAACACTTAGTAGTTCTGGACAAACACTCTCACTTTTTTTTTCGGTAACACTTCTGTGTTACTCCAGTCTGCTCCTGTGAGAAGAACTGTCTGGGTAACACTAAGTATCTATTGCAGTGCTGAAGGATTTAGAGAATAAATTACCAATTTTTTTAATGTGAAATTAAGTTATGCTCAGAAGAAAGACCTTTTGGTGTATGTAGTGTAGGTGACCAAAAATTTATAATGGTGAATTTCAGGCTGATGCAGATGATGATACACTGGAATCCTTTAAGTGGAAGTAATTTTTCTTTTCTGTTTTCCCTCCACTGCTCTGGTCAAGAATCTCTCACCGGCAGCTTCCTGAATTTGATGAGGTGCTGAAAGTTTCTGGTCGGAATGAGGAAATAAGAATGCCAAGCCCGGAGAAGAAATTCATTCTTATTGCTTTGCCTGCTGATGGGGATTGTAACAGTACGTGTGTACAGTCAGTTTGTGATCTTGACTTTCCCTTTGGTAAAGCATAGACTGTTTGGCTGGAACTAACATTCAGCCAGGAGTAATGGCTGCCACCCCCCATTCCCACTAAAGGCAGCCCCAGGGAGTGCTAGCGACCGGGAGCGCTGCCAACAGGACGGGCAAACAGGGTGTGGCACGGCAGTTTGCGTCGCAGTTCATGCGGAAGGGTGCGCAGGGAAGGCGCCTCTTTGAAGGAGAGGCATTCCATGGGCCGAGTGGGGGACTCCGGTGTACACATAACGAGGAGAGGTGCTATGCTGGACCTTGTTCTCACCAACAAGGAGGGGCTGGTGGGGAATGTGAAGCTCAAGGGCAGCCTGGGCTGCTGTGACCACAAAATGGAGTTCAAGATCCTTAGGGCACTGAGGAGGGCGCACAGCAAACTCACTACCCTGGGCTTCAGGAGAGCAGACTTTGGCCTCTTCAGGGATCTGCTTGGTAGAGTGCCATGGGACAAAGCCCTGGAGGGAAGAGGGGCCCAAGAAAGCTGGCTAATATTCAGGGATCACCTCCTCCAAGCTCGGGAGCAATGCATCCCAACATGAGATATGTATCGCAGTATGACTTCCAAGAGGAAGTCAGGCAAAAATGCCAGGAGGCCTGCATGGATGAACAAGGAGCTCCTGGACAAACTCAAACACAGAAAGGAAGCCTACAGAGGGTGGAAGCAAGGACAGGTAGCCTGGGAGGAATACGGAGAAATTGTCCCAGCAGCCAGGGATCAGGTTAGGAAAGCTGAAGCCCTGATAGAATTAAATCTGGCCAGAGACATAAAGGGCAACAAGAAAAGATTCTATAGGTACATTGAGGATAAAAGGAAGACGAGGGAAAATGTGGGCCCTCTCTGGAACGAAACGGGAGACCTGGTTACCTGGGATACAGAGAAGGCGGAGGTACTCAATGACTTTTTTGCCTCTGTCTTCAACGGCAAGTGCTCAGGCCTCACCGCCCAAGTCGCAGAAGGCAAAGGAGGGGACTGGGAAAATGAAGAGCCACCCACTGTGGGAGAACATCAGG